GGGCTTCGGGCAGCCCCCATGCCTCCGGACCCTGTGCCGCCGGAGCCCAGGAGGGGAAGTGCCCGGCCGGGGGCGCAAGGTCCGGAAGCAAGGGGGCTGCCTGAAGCCCAAGTGCTACCGGCTTCACGGTTTGCCGGCCAGCCTCCAGACCCTGCGTCCCCGGCTGGGCGCTTCCCCTCCTGAGCTCCAGCTGCGCTGGGGAAGTGCCGGCCAGGGGCGCAGGGTCTGGGGGCTGCCCGGCAAACCGTGAAGCCGGTAGTGCTCGGGCAGCCCTTTTCGCGTGGCTGGGAGTGGGAGGGAGGAGGGGCGGAGTTAGGGCGGGTTGGGGCGGGGAAGGGGCGGAGTTGGGGCAGGACTGGGGTGGGAAATGGGCGGGGCCAGGGCCCCGTGGAGGGTCCTTTTTATTTGTTACATATGGTAACCCTAGACTGTAGTATCCAGCGGCCAGACAACCTCCCTAAAGCAGAGTATTGTTTATTTAGAACCAAAGCATTTAAGCGAAAACACATCTTAAATCAATAAATAGTCTCTACACCTGCCTCTCATTCCTGGGAAGGCCCCAGCTGCTTCAGAAACTCCTGCAGGAGAGTCTGTATTCCATGACAGACTCTTCTCCCCAGAAACAGCTCACTCACAACTCCCTCCAGAGTCCCTCTCTCTCCAGAGAGTGTCCTTATAACTGGTTAGTGTCCATTTGGCCTTTCGGTGCCCATCGTTGGCAAAACAGCTGTGTAACTTTGGGCTGGAGCCTAGGGTTGCCAGGTGACTGGGCCGTTAAAAGTCCGGTCAGCGATGCAGCAGGGCTAAGGCAGGCTCCTTGCCTGCTGTGGCTCCGTGTGGCTCCAGGAAGCAGTGGCATGTCCCCCTGCCCGGCTCCTACATGTAGGGGAAGCCAAGGAGCTCTGCACGCTGCACCTGCACCAAGTGACGGCTCCACGGGGGCGGTGCCTGCGGATGGAACAGCATGCAGAGCTGTCTGGCCACGTCTCCGCATAGGAGCCAGAGGGGGGACATGCTGCTGCTTCCGGGAGCTGCTTGAGGTAAACGCCACCTGAACCCTGGACCCTGGACCCCATCCTGCACCCCAACCCCCTGCCACAGCCCTGATCCCCCTCCCACCCTCCGAACCCCTCAGTCCCAGCCAGACCACCCTCCTACACCCCAAACTCCTCATCCTCAGCCCCACCCCAGAACTTGCACCCTCAGCCGGAGCCCTTATTCCCCCCACACACACCCTTACCCTCTGCCCCAGCCTTGATCCCCCTCCCACCCTCTGAACCGCTTGGTCCCAGCCCGGAGCACCTTTCTACACCCCAAACCCCTCATCCCCAGCCCCACCCTACAGTTTGCACCCCCAGCCGGAGCCCTCACACACCTCCTGTAGCCCAACCCCCTGCCCCAGCCTGGACCCCCCTTCCACACTCCGAACCCCTCATCCCCAGTCCGGAGCACCCTCATCCCCCCCCACACCGCAACCCCCTCCTCCAGCCTGGCACCCCCTCATTTCTGGCCCCACTCCGGAACTTGCACCCCCCAGCCCAGAGCCCCATACCCCCCTCCCACACCCCAACCCCCTGCCTCATCCTGGAGCTCCTTCCCACTACTCTGAAACCCTTGACTCCACCCCAAGCCCCTCCTGCACTCCAAACCCCCCATCCCCAGCCCCACCTCAGAGCTGGAGCCCTCACCCCCTCCTGCATCCCAACCCACTGCCTCAGCCTGGAGCCCCCTCCCGCACCCAGAACTCCCCATTTCTGGCTCCACCCTGGAGCCACCCCCCCCCCGCCAGAGCCCTCACCCCATCCCACACCAACCCCCTGTGCCAGCCCAGTGAAAATGAGCAAGTGAGTGAGAGTAGGGAGAGCAAGCGATGGAGGTGGGGTGGACTGAATATGGGGCAGGGCTTCAGAGAAGGGGTGGTGCAGGGGTAGGGCCTCAGAGAAGGGGTGATGCAGGGACAGAGCCTCAGAGGGGTGGGGCAGGGGGTGGGGCAAGGGTGTTCGGTTTTGTGTGAGTAGAAAGTTGGCAACCCTACTGGCGCCTGGAAATCATCTTCACCATTAATAGCACAGCCATTGTCTTATAACGGCCTCCTGAGTGTTTGTTGGAAAACGCTTAGCTACAGACATTGTATTGCCTTTTTGCTTTTGTTCCCAGCAGCCCCCTATTGCGCTAGATGAATATATTCATACAGGAAAGTCTAATAACGCAATATAGGTGTAAACAGTAACTTTGCCTTGCCGACCAGGCCACATACAGTGTACAGTAGTCTTAGATTATTACAGAGCAGCTCTATGGCCACCACACCAACTACCTAGACAGGCTGCGAGCAGGTCTGCTGCTGTAGAGTGCCAGGAATCTCAAGCCTCTGGCAGCCAGCTTTTCCAGTTAAAGGATGCCTAAAAATGGATGTCCATAGCATTCCATAACTCAAATCATTAGTCAAAATTCCCATAGATTCCATGGGAGTGGTAAGCAGTACCAAAAGGACAGGGAATAGAAGATGTTTACAAACTATCACTCTTTTTTCTCTCTCCCATACACACTTTCCTCCTCATGTTCCTATGTCACCATATCAAGCAGGAAGTGCAGGGCACGTTACTCTGGCAGTTAAGGCAGTGCAAAGGGCAGAATAAAATGGTTCCAGTGGAACTGGGCCTAGGCCCATAAAAGGTCTGAGGTTTTGTGTTTTTTTTTAACTTCTTGCTCTTTTCTTCTGTCATAACCAGTGGTGAGCTGGAGTCGGTTCCCACCGGTTCACAGGAACCGGTTGTTAAATTTAGAAGCCCTTTTAGAACCAGTTGTTCTGCAACAACCGGCTCTAAAAGGGCTTTTAAATTTAACAAAAGCTCGGGCACCTGTCCATCTCGTCCCCGGCCCCAGATCACTTCCCCCTCCTCCCGTGAATGCTCCGCCCCCCTTCTCCTCCCCCTCAAATGTTCGCGGGAAGCCTGAAACAAGCAGCAGGCAGGTAAGCTGGGACAGGGGGGGCTCCAGGGAGGCGAGGCGCGGCCCA